GGTCACTCCCTCTCTTTACAAGATCCAATATTTTCTGACAGTAAGGGAGACAAGACTAGAAACCATGACTCTAATTTGAGAAGGACCCTCTTTCCTTAGTGATTAAAACATGGTCATAACTTAATATCAAGAGTGATTACAAGGCACAGGGCCCTACCAAGACTTTAACTGATTTTTATCTGAGTCTGGACTCTATTCACCAAACATATGAAATGCAGAAATAAGGCTTCCTAAGTTGATGACAGACTTCAAATGGATAGCAATGTGGTCTGTGGCTCACTTTCCTCCAAGATACCTGTATCAAATTTGTAGTCTCTTCCTCAAATCCAAGAGATATTCTCACCATTGAGAGGACTCAGGAGTAGAAAACATGGCCTTCATCATGTATGATAGACCCCAGAGACATAATCTGGACAATTTTGACACGATGGTGTGCTGGCTGCACCCAGAGGCCATCATGTACCCAATTGTCTCCAAGAGATCCAGGACAAGTGATCATGTTCATGTTGGCCAATACCACAGTCAGAGAAAAATAGAATTACCACAGTTGGTGTTGTGTTATGTGACATCAGCCTCACAAACTTCCAGACTGCGGTCCCAATCTTCATTTCCTGATATATCAGTTTCCCCACCTTCTCACTGCTGACTTTGTCCCTCAGCCTGACCTGATTAGAAACATCAAGTAATCCATTGGATTAAGATGGCATCACTCAGGAATTCAGATATAACTTTAATAAACATGTGTAATGGAAAATGCTAAAGTTCTTCCTCTGGAGGCATATTTGGTGGCTATTCAAAGACTAGACATGTGTTCCTATGCTTCTTCACAGGAGTCCACCTAGAAGAAGCCAGATTTATAACCTGATGACTATAGATCCCTTATAGGTCTAAGGCCTTGTAGTAATCAGTCTTGCTGTGAATGTTGTTCCTACATTTTGTATATAGTTTTGAATAAATATGTTGATATACTATTATGGTTCACCTTGAAATTTCTATTTGGCCTTTCCCTTTTCCTGAAGATCAGTGAACCTCCATCCATGGTTTGTGTATCTGTCGTTTGCAGGAATTGCTTTAAAAACCAAAAATTTAGTGAAAGGGGCCAAGTAGGCCAGATCCCTCACCTAGCTGTAAAATCACTGGGATAAAATTTCTAATTTGGTGGGGCTACTCCCAACCCCATCTGGTGCGGGAGAATTATCTGTATTCTGTCAATCATATTTTAATAAAACGCTGATTGGCCAGGCAGGCAGTATAGGCGGGAAAGCCAGACAGGAAGTAGGGGTGGAGCAAAGAGACTGGGAGTATTCTGGAAGCAGAAGCTCTCTCTCAGCCACTCCTGCGCAGATCACTGAAGAAGCAACATGTAAGCTGCCCCCGCTGGAAAAGGTACTGAGCCATTATGGCTAACATAGATAATGATAATGGATTAATATAAGTTACAAGGACTAATAAGAAGCCTGACCCAATGGGCCAATCAGTTTATAATCTTATGGAGTCCTGTGTGTGATTTTCCTTGGGAGTTGCCGGCTTTGGGGTACCGGGTGGGACAGAAACCTCAACAAGCCAGCCCTCGTGTTACACCCATCTGGTACCAAAATCTGATTCAAGTTGCTGAGGAAGGTGTGGGAGGCAGAGGAGTAACTGAGGTTCAGTGTGGATCACAGGACACCAGCGTCTGGAAATTGTCCTCCAGTGAGACTCCACGTGAGGATGAATGGACTCCCACTGACGTCCTCTGCATGGTGCCACAGCACAGTCAGGTGCAGTCCCTGTCAGAGGAACAGTAAAATGTGCTCTGCTCCTTCCATTAGAGGCCCTGGAGGCTGACCTGTTGCATCTCTGGACTTGCCCCTCATGGTCTTTGGAAGCACAAGTTGCAGCTTTGTTGGTGAGTTCCATATTGTCATAGACACGGTTGAGGGTGTCTCCTAGAATGACATGGTATCTACACCCAGGAAACCACAAAATATGGGAGCCTAAATGAGGCAGAAAGATGGACAGTCTCACTGGACACACTTTTGTGGGTGGAGGAAACCTCATGGGGATACAACCTGACAGAGAGAGCTATAGGCAACTGAGGATTGCTGATAGAAAACTAGATGTCCCTAGAGATGAGTATTCCACTTGGTTATCCAGTATCTAGTACTCAGACCTGACATCTATACATGCAAGCATCACTGAACGGGCACAGCCAATTGGTGTCATAAATTTATGCATTTTTTTAAAATATGTATCAGTAAGAGAAAACATCCCATGAATTTTTGGGAAAGAGAAGAAAAAAGATATGAGAGCAAGAAGGATAGTACAAATGGTGAGTTCTTATTTTCAGTTTACAAATTATAATTGTAAAATTTTAGGAACTATTTAATGGGAGATTTTGACCATGTTATATACTGAATATTGTAACATTCAAGCAGTGAATCAGACTTCCTGTGTAGGTATTGTATTTCAACACTCTTGTCTCCACACCTAGATCTCTCTTCTCCCAAGGAGACACAAACACAGACATTGCAGCATCATGTTAGACATGCGGGTTTTATGGCGACAGGGAGAGCCATCTTGAGCCTTGAATTAGCTGACATCAGGGCATAAAGCTCTATCCTCTCCTACAACCCCTCCACCCATACATTTCCACAAGCCTATCTCTCATAGTAAACCAATGGCTACTATGCTGCCTGCATCTGGAAGGAAAGCAACACAGAGAGAGGACCACAAGCACAGTCAGCTTCTCACTGGAGCAGCAGAACCATGGTCGGCCTTTTGTTTCAGATTTGTACAGGTACCTGAGTGAGTCAGACGCCAGAAAGCCAGGAGTTATTATATATATGTCCATATATACTCTTTCAATTTCACTTTTACATTTAGATATACACACACCTCAAATACATTTACAATGTTTTTGTATTATCTACAAAGAAATTAAACCATTTTCCCTTTTTATGCAAATGAGTTGAATAGGTGGTCTATGTCAGGGATTAAACTTTTGAGATCTATGTAATTCACTCAGGAGAAACCAAAGAAATGAGAAACCCTGGATACATAAAGAACTTGTTTATGTTGTTACAAGTTAAGTGCCATCTATTACCTGAGTGCCCAAATCCCAGAAGAATTCTTAAAAAGTGGTTTTCAGTATCCAGAACATCAGCCTCTTCATTCAAACACTACTCTGTCAGTATGTAATCTCTGGTCTGATATTTGACACCAGGTCAGGAATTGATTGCTACACAGGCAGTTCTGGCCTTGAACTCACATCTCCTGCTGCCACGGACTGCCTCTTGTGGAGGCACTCAGACCTTGGGAGAATCAGGGTGAAGACTCAGGAGAGTTCAGAAATCGGCAAGGAACAACAGACAGACACCTTCAATGTGGTTGAATATGCTGCTGCAATTTTACTTTTTTCAGCATAAGATTTATATTCTTTTACAATCAAAAAAAACTTGGCAAAGACATACATCATCAGATCATAAAAAAAGAACAGCATAAAACAGTTTTCAAAGAGAATCTTTGAAAATGCTTTGACTTGGGTACAAGGACTTTTGCTCCATGCTTTGACTTGGGAACAAGGACTTTTGTTCAGTTTGTACCAGGTGGCTGGCTCGGCTAAGTGACCTTGTGCTCAGAATATCTTGGGGTGTGAGAGGAGAAGGCCACTATCTTCCTGGGAAAACTTTCTGCTAGGAAATTTTAAAGACATGATCTCAAACTTGTCTGAAACTCATCTCATACCATAAATCTCAACTCTCCTCCCTACCCGACTCTCAGGGTCAGATGTTATAATTAGCCTAGGTTTTTTTCTGGCCATAAGGAAGGCTGCATAGGCCTCCTGTTAAACTGCACGTATCCCTCAGGTAAATGTCTAATGGGGGTTGCTGCAGCTGTTTTCCTGTAGAAGGCTTCTAAGGTTTCTCCTGATAAGAGAAACTCCTTTTGCTCCACATCATTAAGGAATTATTTTAACGATGACCTCCCAATTCCCAGAACTGGCTATTTCCTTTAAGGCTTTAATGAATGGTGGGGCAGAGCTCAAAATGTCCTCAGCAGTCTTGTTTGTATCTGCAACTGCCTGGAATAGTCTGAACTGTTGGCAATATGCAAGAATAAAAGACAGACATATCGGCACCAAGGACAGCGAGGTCGAGTCAGTGCAGGTAGCAACTTCAGGTGGCGTCATGACCACAACTGATTGCCAAGGGACAGCCAGGGACGCAGCTCCGTGAAGTGCAAATCCCAATCCTACGGCAACAGTCCGTCCAGTCAGCATTTCTGCTACACTGGCGTGACAGCCGTGGATGTAGCATCCTCCTTTCTCTCTCTCTCAAGTTATGAGATTCCCCGACCACCACATGAACACACAAGGCTTGCAATCTTCACACCTGACCTCAATGTGGAGGCTTTTAAATGGTTCTGCAATGACAAGGAGGATCAAGAACAAGTGGAGTGAACACCAATACATCTTGAACCAAGCCCCTCTGCCTCTCTCCCTAAAGGTTACATTGATGAGTGGCACTTATGTTGTACACAGAAGTGTCAGACAACAAGAATATTAACTAAATTTTATGTAAAATCAATGAAAATTAAGCCTGTACATACAGTTCTACCTTACATAGGAAGCAGTTTTAAAAATCCTTTTGTAAAATTATTCTTTTTTTTACCTACATTTTCTGTAACTATACTGATTCTATAAGGAAGGATTGTCTCTATTTGTAATTTTGCAAATCTAATCAGCCAGGGAGTTTTTATTAGAACACTGTGGCATTGACTTTCTGCTCTGGCTGTGCCTAGGATGTTTCACCTGAACCAACACAGGTGTCAACAGCCACACTAGTGCTGAAAGGCAACCCTGTCACATAAGGCACAGGGTAGAGAAGTAATAACGAATCTCCTTAAAACTAAGCAACAGAGTCCCATGACTTTCCATTTGATCTAGTTTTAATTGGGTCCCAGGCTACTTTATAATTAGGTATAGAAATAGAAAGAAAAGTAACAGTAATTGAAATAACCTTTTCCCCAAAGATGATGAAGCATTCCTCACGGGCCTCAGTAAGAGCCACACGGCGGGAGTTCACATTTCCTGGAAAAGGGAAATGTTGAAAAGCGTAAGTGAATGAGCCCATCATCCGGCTCTGCAGCCAAAATTCTTTAGTCCAAAGGCCATAGAGCTGAGCTGCAGGGACAATGACTTCCACTGTACATAGAGAAAAATTCAGTAACAGTGAATTCTCACCCTGTTCCTTTAAAATATAAAAAGTTTTATAACAATTTAACAGCATGAAACAATGAATTTCAAGTAATATGTAGCATGAGGGCCAGCTTGTTGGGGTTTCTGTCCCACCCGGTACCCCACAACCGGCAAGTCCCAAAGAAATAACAGAGTCTACATTAGGTTATAAACTGATTGGCCTGTTAGCTCAGTCTTCTTATTAACTAATTCTTACATTTTACAGTAACCCATAATTCTTGTCTATGTTAGCCATGTGGCTTGGTACCTTTTTCAGTTGTCAGCTCACAGTTGCTGCTTCGGTGGTCTGTGCAGGAGTGGCAGAGGGAGCTTCCTCCTCCCTAGCCTTCTCCTATTCTCATTGCCCCGCCTCTACTTCCTGTCTGGTTGACCCGCCTATACTTCCTGCCTGGCCAATCAGCATTTTATTAAAATACATGATTGACAGAATACAGACAATTCTCCCACACCAGTAATACATTTTAGTTAATTTTTAAGGATATTATACATATAGTGTAGTTTTAACACTGTCTCCTTAATTTCTCCACATCCTCCCTGGTCTCAGAACCAGCTGTTAGATCATTTCATGTTCTTATTCTCATGTGTGTAGGGCTGTCCACCAGATGCTGCTCAACTTACCCTTGTATCAGCACCATAAGGAAAGCTGACTCCTCCTCCTCTAGAAGCCACCAACTGTCAACATCTTTCAGTTGTGGTGGGGCCAGTGAGCTCCTTTCCCTTCCATGATATAATACTGACAGGCTTGATCACAGAGTTCCTAAGTGCAGCAGGACTCTCATGTCCAGAAGACACAGCTTCATTGCAATTCTTCGACCTCTGGATCTAAAATCTTTTCACCCTTCTTCCTGGATGGTGTCTGAGCCTCAGAAGAAGGCGCAATTGGAATAACACATTTATGCCTGTGAATTCCACTGACACTCCTCTGAGTTTTGAGGTTTTTTGTTTTGTTTTTTTGTTTTTGTTTTTGAAACACAGATTCCTACATTAAGAAACTTCTCTGATGAGGAGAGAGAGCTCCCTAACTTATGAGTATAGAAATGTAAAGTCAGGGGGCAATTTTATATGGCAATTTAATATAGTAATTGTTGTAGGTTCACCATGGATGCCTGAGAGTTTGCCAGACATAGGTTTTCTACAGATTAAAGTTTTGAGATTACATGCGACTATATGTTTCAGCAAAGCATTATACATGAAAAAAATTACCAAAACATAAAGAACCAGTAAGAGGAAAGAGAGTTCTGCAGGTGAAAAGATAAAAAACAAGCTGCCAGCATCTGGATTCCAGGGTCTCAGACAATTTGCTGTTGTCCTCTCACATGGTGATGACAGGAGCGACGTGAGTGACAGACACCATGTGATTACATGGCACTAGGGTGACACATTCACTCCAACAGGCCCTCATTACAATGACACCAGTCCTCCATGAGGATGAGAACAGGAACTTCTCCCCAATGTTCACCTCCCAGTACAATGCCCTGGCAAACACACTAGCAACCGTTGTCTTATTGTGGCTACATTGAGAACATACTTGACAGCCTGGAACATACAAATGGATCTATTAAATAGGTGAAAAATTCAAAAATTTGTCATCTGCTGCGGGATCTACTTTTGCTCCTTCAGCCAATAGCCTTTGAGATACCTGCCCACTGAGGTGTGGTATCTTTTGCTTTAAAAAATCGGTGGCAGCCCTCTGCTCACTCTCTTTCTTCGCATTCCACTTCCGGCTATCAGACGCTTTCTCTGGCCATGCAGGAGGCTGTTGTCTGGGACAGTGATCTGTAAGTTTTTTCCCTTCAAATTAATAACCCTTTTATTAATCATAATTCCAAATTGGTGTGGGATTGCCTTGTGACTTACTTCATTAGTCATCTGACCTCTTGTCTCTTCTATTTCCATGATCAGCTGCTCCTGAAATTGACTGAAGGTCACTTACAGTCTCCTCAGAACACCATGGCTTTGGTGGGGGCTGGGTTGGGGTTTTTTGGTGTTTGTTTGGTTTTTGTTTTTTGTTTGTTTGTTTGCTTGCATGCTCACCTGCCAAAGCGCTGCTTTCCTTCAGTTTTCCTCCCCTGGACTTTCAAAGGCTCTCCTGTGACCCTCATTACTGGAACTATTTGGGCCCATGGGTCTTGGTGGAGCTTTCTGACCTGCCCTGGTCTGCAACTTTTCAGTCCCATAGCAACACACAGAGGCCTACATTAATTATAAACTGCTTTGTCTATTAGTTCAGGCTTCTTATTACTTAACTCTTACATTTTACATTAATCCATAATTCTTCTCTGTGTTAAGCATGTGGCTTGGGACCTTTTATCAGTGAGAAATTCTCATCTTTCCTCCTCTGTGTCTGGGTAATGGTTACAGATTGAGACTTTCCACTCTCCAGAATTCTCCTATTTTGGTCACCCTGCCTATACTTCCTGCCTGGTTACTTGCCAATCAACACTTTATTAAATGAAATTAAGTGACAAATCTTTACAGGGTACAAGACCATTGCCCTGCAGCACATGTGGGGCTGCTATAAAAAGATATCCCAGGTCGATGGCAGTTGTCATGTCTGCTGAGGAGAACTTACTGGTTTATGAAGTAAACTTTTTCAAGGTGTCCTTAAACTGATCATTTATCCTGTTATGAGAGTACTACACACTTAAAATATTCTTCCTGCTTTTTCAAGATAGTTTCTCTGTAACTTTGGAGCCTGTCCTGGAACTAGCTCTTTTAGATCAGGCTGGCCTCAAACTCCCAGAGATCCACCTGTTTCTGTACTTCCAAGTGCTGGGATTACAGAAATATGCCACCATCACCCAGCTGAGAGTACCACACTCTGGATGTTATTATCTGCCAAAGGCTAAACTTATCAACTCTGGAGCTATAAGATCACAGTATGGGAACTGGGGGCCCACCATGTTTAAAAAGAGCGGAGGCCCACTGTCTTAGAAACCACAAACATGGCCTTTGTCCTTCTGCATGGTTACTCGAATCGTTAAACTTCCAGTTGTCAGAAACAGAACATTCTGCACTATTATACAAAGAGAAAAAGATCCACTTCTGTAGAACACTATTTGTGGCAGGTTTCCCAGACATTGATTTCGTTTCCTGAGGATCACACAGATCTTTTCTCTCTTACTTCCCTCTCTGACTCAGTGTTTTGTTCCAGACCCCAGCACCGCTGCTAACCAAGGCCCCACCTGCCAGGGTGACCAGTAGGCTGATGGCAGAGCCACACCCCTACTTCTCCTTCTCCAGGTCCAATTCTCCCAGTCTCATGCTCAACTCTGTAGCCTGTGGTCTCACTTTCCTCTCTCACCCCCTTCCCAACAGATCACAAACATCTCCTCCAACCTTTCTTCCTCCAACTCATCCCATTGTCTTGGCTTCCAACACCAGCAGGTGTAACCTGGGAACACACCAGTAAGCAGGACAAGGGACCAGGTCGACAGAAAACTTCCTACCAGACAGCACAGAGCCACCACACTGGCCTAAAGTTCAGGGAGGATCAGAAACCAATGAGCAATACATTCGCCGAACAGAGCCAAAACCAGACAAAATCACCCAGACCTGTAATAATCCCAATCCCAGATGCCTAAAAACACTATCAGTAAGAGCCAGGACAAGGTCTTCACTACAGTCCAGCAACCATGACTCAGCAGGCACTCACTATTTCAACACACCTGAAGCAGAAGAAAAAGAGCTTAATAAAGCATGTATGAAGATCAAAGAGGCACTTCAAAAGAAATGAAAGAAATCTGATAAGATTTCTTGTCGGTACCCAGGTTTTTTCCCCTTTGCTCGAGGTGCTATGGGGGGGGGGGGCATTTTTCCTTTGACTTCCTGGTCTCTCTGCTCGCTGCACCAGCCTGAGGGTATAGTTTAGAGAGAACTCGCCCTCTCTTGTTATGGTAATTCCACCTGCAAGCAAGGTTCCCGCTGCAGCCGCTCTCTGACCTTGGGCGCAGCGGCCTGACTTCTTCTTTCCCTGTTCCGGATGGGAGGGGGCTGTTGTCCTTCTGCCCCATAGTATATATGCCCGACTTGTGCTTAATAAAGTGGCCATTTACTCCTTTGGTGAATGAGCCTGGTCTCTCTGTGTGTCTGTTCAACCCTTAGGATATTTATCCATTCTCGTGGACTTGACCGTGGGCCTGAATCAGGTGTGGAAATTCACAGAAAAGTGCAGGCAACAGTTTCTGATAAAGAAGCTGATAAGGTGAGGGATTAACATATTGGTGGAATGGGAGGAGCCACACTGTTCCAGAAGAGGAGCAGAAGAGTCATGGAATCCCTAGCTCCCTCTGTGATGTCCAGGGACACCCAGCCCTGGAGAAGCTGTGCAGGGATTACTATCAATGGTTAATGGACACCCAACAAGAGGAGCGAGCAGGTGAACTGCAGGAGAGTCAAGGGGATGGGCTGGCTACCTCAAGGCTGGGCTCCCTGCCAAAGCTGCGCGGCTGGTGCTGACCCGCAAGGAGCTGCTGGCCAACACGGAGCTGGTAGAACACAATGAAAGACTCCCGTGGGCGTCTTCCTTCAGGAGAGACCCTGTGCCCAAAGATCAGTCGAAAACACGCAGCCGGATGCAAATTGAAAGAGGTTTATTGGATAGGATACGCAGGTACCTGGGGCTACAAGTCTCTGGAAGACTTGTGCGCCTGCAGGTTGGGGATGAGGGGTTCTTATAGGAGAGTAAAAGCGCGGGTAAAGAAGCAAAAAAGCTTTTATTTCATTGGTCAATTTAAATAAGGCTAAGCTGAGTGGCACATTCCTGACCTTTTACCTAAATACCAAGGAGGGGGTTGTCCAGACCCACCTGGATACCAAGGAGGGGGTTGTGCTACCTGTTTTTCTTATCTCTTCCTGCCTTCCTAGCTTGGCTGGCGACTAGATGTCTGATTGCACAGCCCCTGACTCGTGAGAGGCCCGCTCTGTACGTGACTCAGGCCTCGCAATCCTCTCTTCCTTGTTTCTATGGCTAGTCCATAAATTCCTGTCTTGCAGCCAGATAAGGCTGTCCTTGCCCTAACTTCAAGTATCTTTGTTCAGCATTCCGGAGGTTCTGAATTAGGCCTGTTATTTGTTCAGCACTCTGGAGGCCCTGACTCCGGAGGCCTTTAATGAAGCTTGCTATCTGAAAACCTTTGCAGAGCGTTATAACTGTAGTTAAAACGAGTTGGGGTCCTTCAACATCACCATGGCCCTCATCAAGGGGGAGCTCTACAAAAGGGTATGTGGGCTGCCTCTTCCCAGTCATTATCCACCCAAGGAGACCTGGGGGTCCATAACTCTCCCTGACTGCCAGCATTTCTTCTTTGGGGAGCTGATTCCTGACTCTGTGTTCAGAGTTTCATTGTAGTCATGTGTTGGCAGGCCAGTGATCTCTTTGAGAAGATTTGAAACCCACAGCGGGCCCTTGAGTGC